AGCCAACAGGCAATAAACTCTTCATTTAGAGCACTCCAATCTGGGTCACGTTAACTATTTCTCTTACAGGTCGCGAGTTCCTTATCCCTTCACTGGCCCACAGGTTCATAGCAGAGATGGTGGATTTCTTTATTCTCTTCTTCATCAAAGCGACCATTGTTTTAAGTATTATGCACCTCAGTGGGATAAAGTAAGTAGAATAACTTAACGGTTTGTTACACACAGCCTTAAGCTCTTTGAGGTGTCGTGGTGTGGTTGTGTGTGTGGTGTGGTTGGCACTGAGTCTGCGTGTGTAAGGTCAGAAACAATTGTTTACCTCTAAGACTATCTGCTTCTTTAACGGTAGGTGTCACAGAGCTCACTGAGCTCCTCTACTTTGGCTGGTGTAAATCAAATATTTGTGTCTGGTTAGGGGATCAGAGCTCGGAGTACGAGCACAGTTACATTTCTGAATCCACGTTTTCTGCTAAAAGAGCCTTCCCCATGGTGACCAAATGTAAGCTGATAGTGTATGGAAAACATCTTTCACCTAGGTTGAACTGATGCTTGAAAAGTGCGTGGAAGAGGGTTAAAACCCAAGCAATCACTATGTCAGTGTATATTATTAGTATTTGTTGTTCAAATAAACACGCAAATAAAATGCTGACCTCTCAGTGCTATTCAGTTGCCAAAATCTGCAACTCCTACCTGACAGCTTGTATTTCTAATTTGATTTTAGTAGGCTGAAAATGATGCAAAATGAAGTCCTGGGAAGTTGGAGAACTGTGTGCACTGCTTCTGCCAAGTAGTGGAGGTGATGGAAAGAGAAGGCATCTCTTACTTTCTGAATTAACTTATAATATGTTCAATATCACGACTTTAGAAAGAGCAAGGAGGTTGCTTATAAATAACTTCAGGAAAATGTTCTCCTTTTTTTTTTTTCCCTCCCTCTTGGTGAGATGTTTGCTGGAGGTCAGACTGAGGAGTTGTCAGGAAAAAGTACATCCTCACAGGCAAAAAAAAAAAAAAAAAAAGGAAATGCAGGTTGTGACGTGCGATCATTTTCTCAATCCTGAAGTCTGACAAGTCCTTGTCTAACTGCATCAAAAGCATGTCCATGCCACTGCTGGGTCATAATGTTAAATCTGTAGGGTTGTGAAAATACCCAGTTGACTCCAAATGGATGCTTTGTGTAGCTTTGTTAGGGTAAATAGCTGAAGGCTGCAATTGCTAAAGTTGAAACCTTCCAGTTGTACATCCGCGTGCATGCATCTACGAGCACACAGTGATAGCTGTAGGGATTGGAGAGTGACAAATCAGTCTTGGTCATGCAACAGGAGATGAAGCTCTGTTGCTTTCCTAGGGTGACTTGCAAATTCTCCCAGGCATTTATGAATGCTTTTTTTTTTTTTTCCCTCCCTGTAAAGAAGTGACTTGCATCCATTCCATTTGTGCAGTTAGATGATTGCAGAACCCTTGTGTACCTTGCAAGAAGTTGAGGAGCTTTTTAATACCAGAACTAAAGGAGTAAATTCTAATATTAAACACCAGTAGTGGGAGCAGGGTCAAATAAGCTCAGTTTGTTGTTGTGTTTTGTCACTCAAGTTGTCTTATTTTGAACAGGGACATCTCTAAATTTGCTATGCATTACATAATAGAAGAAATAGATGAAGATACATCCATGGAAGACTTGCAGAAAATGATGGTAGTAGCTCTCATCTACAGGTTATTAGTCTGCTTCTATGAGGTAATTACTCACAAATAGTAGCGTCTGTAACTAATAGTTGTCAGTTCTTGAATAAGGTAAAAAATAAAATTCTGTCATCGTTGGCTGATGAAGTAAGTCCTCTTTATTTTGGGTTTTGTGAAGCTGTGTAGCTTTTACGCAGTTGTGATGAAGACCAAGTTTGCCAAACCCATCGACAGCACCGTGCTGTGTGGGATTGAACAAACTTTTCTTTTGCAGATAATCTGTATTTGGGGAGCAGGAGGAGCTACCCCAGGGAAGTTCTTGCTCGGACTGCGAGTTGTGACGTGTGACACATCTGTACTCGTTGCTCCCAGCCGTGTGCTAGTCATTCCTTCCTCAAATGTCAGCATGACAACGTAAGTGCGCTTAGCCTACGCTGCTTTCAGGGTAGTGTTACAGAAAGCACCCGATTTATGAAGGAAATGCACATTTTCTTTCTTTATTATTGGCTTTTGCAATAACTGGACTGCGTGATTTTTAAATCACAAAACCTGAGAATTGTTTTGGCAATCATGAATATTCTCCAAGTTAGGTGGTAAAACAATCTCTTCTAAATTCTTTTTAATGCTATACAAAAACCGAGGCACTAAACTGAAGGCTGGCTAACTACTAACCTAAGCAGAAAAGTCAAAATACGACAACAAGTGTTTTATTTTCATTTCAGGTCTACAATAAGAGCTTTGATCAAGAATTTTTCTATTGCTTCCTTTTTTCCTGCATTCATTACACTGCTGTTTTTTCAGCACAACAGAACAGCCTATGATATTGTAGCAGGAACTATTGTGGTAAGAAGAAATGGAATCAGATGATGCCAAAAGGTGATGGATTTCCAGACTGTTTTTTGAGCACCACCCCCAAATGAAACAAAGACCTACCCCAAAACTCAAATTGAGATGACCATCGGAATCTTTTGCCCAAATTAAAGCAGAATGATTCAGAAGATAAAGGAAATGGGTTGCTCCAGTATGGTGCCAGCAGCTACCTTCAAAGTATTGGAGTTTTCACAAATGCCAAAGAAATTTGAGAGAAACAAGACGCAGTAAATCTGAAGTATTAACCTTAGATTGACAGGGAAGTAAGCGGCTGTACTGTTAACTGCAGCTAGGTGCTGTTCTGTTTGTCAGTCTAGGGAAAGCAGATTCAGAGAAATACTCCACCTCAAAAGAAACGTTCCTAGTTTTGGGTGTTGGCAGGTAACTCGAAAATGTTGTTTTCCAAGCAGTTGCCCGAGCTGTATCGCAAACTGAGGGGAAGGGAACTGCAGTATTAGACAGTGAGGCAAATCATGTTAATTAAATTGCCAGATGTGCAGTGTTTATTACTTCACAGGGCACATTTCCTCACCTCTTAAAGTATTTTATCTATCTGAACATTGATGTGACAAGTTTTTTTGCATGATTCTCATAAGCATTGTCATTATTTCACGTGTCAGAGCTCATGAAGAGGTGAAACACTAGCTGCTTTTTCTTTGGGAAGGCTGTGTTACACTGCAGTGTTAGTGACTTGGCATGTACATAATTCTGGAGCTGTGAACAGTACACATCATCTGCTTCTGGTCGGAATGAAAGCACTCGTCTCTTTCTTGCATAGAATTATACCAAGCGGAACAATTGAATGAGTTTCAGGAGCATGCAGAAAATAATAACTGAAATGCGTGTCATGGGTATAAATCCACAGAAGTACAAGTACTGGTTATGTTCACTTTATGTTCTGGCTAATTGTTTGTATATTCGGAATAACAACTACTGAATAAAAAAGCCTAATATTTTGCATGATTACATAGCTCTGGTAATTTGTTCTTATGTCATTTAGTGTCTTGGAAAGGACTACACACCACAATGTTGATATTTTATTCCTCTCTTAGTAAGAGTTTGGAACTCTTCCAAGACCCAGTTTTTGTCTGTCCCTCCCTGAGGCTGTTGGCTCTAACCCTACCTTCAATCTTGGAGGCTGGTGGTAGAATTATTTTTATGGGTTCTTGTTTCTATCTCTTTAGGTGAAATAAACTAAAAAAAATGCAGAATATTAATGTTACTCTTTCTGAGTTAATAAATGGTGTTGTTTATTAAGGCAACTTCTGCATCTATCTTCATTTCCCATGCTATTTTAAGGACCAGTGTTGCTGCTTAATTGACCCCTCAAAGTGCATGCAGCTGAAATAGAACCCAAGAGAGCTTATTTCACTGTTCTTTCAAAGAATTGCACCCTTGACAAGAGTGTTAACATTAAAAGTTGAGGAACAGCTATCACCCTGACAAGCTAAAGCTAACGTTAAGGTGTGTGTTGCCTACTTACACTCTCAGTATGAATGCCAAAGGAAGTTTTAGGCCACTTCCTGTAGTGGTGACCTAGAAACTGGGCTTTAAGATGGGCCTGGGGAGCAAAACAGTTGCATAGAGGTTATTTCTAATGTTTCAGGTTTAAGGGACAGTTATCTCCTTACCCTGTTAGAAAATACTACCACTTGCATAGCAGGTAAAGAAAAACAGCAGACTTGCCTAGGGAAAGATGTATACGGTGTACTGTTGTAAACTTCAACTTTTAGTTTGACGTGTGTGTGTGTGTATTCCCTTGAAAAGACTCCAGTTTTCTAGTGGTAGGCTGAGTATGTATGTGGTAGGTAAAAGTGGAAAAACATCTATCATAGAAATACTGATTTGTGTTCCATGAATTTCCCAAAAGTGAAAATTAAAGTTTGTCTTCCTGTCAAGTCTAGTACAGGGTTAGAAAAGTACCTTTTTTGTAACACTGGCAGCTGTAGAAATACAAAGCAGCATTAGGGGAAGATGTTTAAAGCTTATGCAACTACTTTAAGGCCTTTCTCCCTTTTGTGGTACTAGAGGGAAGGAGAGCTTTCAGTTCTAGCTGCAGCAAGTGTCAGGATCTCAACCATAAACCATGTGCTGTGGCTTAAAGTTCAGCTGTAGTCCTCTCCCTTCACCAGAATGTCTGTTCTCTGAGAAGCTTTTCTCACTCCTATACCAATGCAGAAACCACATTATCTATTTACAATGAGGTATGCTTTATCTTTCTCAATTAGAATGCTGGTAAACATTTGTAAGATCACTTTTTTGTTTGTGTGGTTGTGAGAAACTGTAAAAATTAACTGCAACCACTGTAGCAAGACAAAACTCTTTAAGTAAAGACAGCTTAAGACTGTCAAAAAGCAGAGGTTGCAGAAAGCATGTACCACCACCCAACTCAGGCTGCGTGCATTGCCTTGTGCAGTTCTAACTGCAGATGTTGTCAATGGGAGTTCAAACAGCCAGAAAATATTTTATAGTTTTTATTGATGGCATTTATCCCATGAATTAACATGTTAATTATACTGTAATAAACATGGCTTTAATATTAAACTTTTCCTTATTATCCAAAGTCACCACAGTCCATTTCAGTAAATATAAAAATATATACTTAATACTTTGTACAATACTGGTTTTTGGTCCAAACAAAAATGGATCAGAAAAGCCAATAAACTTACTTTAAGAATTCCCAATTTTAAAGATTTTCTAAATGGATTTAGGCAACTTTGAATAATGGGATTTACATAAAATCTGAGACAATACTAAACAAAAATGGCCTTAACACACAAAATTAAAATTTCAATTTCACAGATTTGTTATGCCAAAAAAGTACATAGAGAAACAAAACTTATTTACACGTTTCAATAATAAAATAACAAAGGTGAGACGTGGTAAAGGGCTGTAAGAATGAAAATATAGAAATAGCATATATAGTTATTAAATGGAGAACTACAGATCTAACAAGTCCTTAGCATGAATCATTCTTATTTCAGTCTTTCTCTATCAGAAAATTTTAGTGCACTATACACCCAAACTCACTCACTTCACACATACACCAGCACAAACTCAGCATAGAAATCATTCATTAAAACATTCTCTACTCTATACAGAATCCCTCACTAATATAATTACAATTTGGAGGCGTCAGTAAACGCGGATGAGCGCACATAGTGGTGCAGATGAAGAGGTATTGTACAAGCCATTCGCTGTGCAGGCTATACTCATGTCTATAGCCGGACCATGCCGAGTCCGTGAAAGAGATAACTTGCCGGATTCTAGAATAGTTTCGCTTGAGAAGGGCTCTGTTGCCAACTCTACTCATTAAAAAAGAACTAAATGAGGGAGGGTAGGAGGGGGCAGCAGAGTTTTACAGTCCTTGAAGCAGATCTGACTTCAGCTATCCCAGCATGAGGTATGATCCCAACAATTGAACAATGCAGGGTAGCAGCTGCTTTGAAAGTTGCTTTACGTATCAGCCGGTTATTTTCTACGTCTAAATGCAGTCTTTATCTTCCGACCAGAAACCGAAGATCCAGATGCAGAGAAAATATTTTTTCCATTAGTCCTATCAAAAGAAATTAGTAGTTCAGAGTTTAGGACAGTGTAGCTGAAAATTCAGTAGCAGCACTGAGTAGATATTCCAGAACAATTGTTCTATCGTCTGGCTCTCTAGTTAGCAGCTGGCAACAAACAGCGTATGACGAACAGGAGGAGAGTTCCAGAAACCAAAAGCAATTAAATCTCTCTTATTCAGCAGGTAAGTAGCAGTACAATGGCTAAATATGGATTTTATTTTTCAAGAACAAGAAAATTGCACGTGTTGATGCGTGGTATTTCTGAGAACTAGTCTCCTTTACAACTACCGTCGCTTAGTTAGCCAGTCACGCTAACACATCAAGGAAGGATCCCAAATTTACACCAAATTCCAAGGTTCATTTGAATACCTCACGACTTAACAGCAGTAGAGGCTGCACACAGTCCACCGACATTACCCAAAGCTCAAGTGAAATTCTGATACAGTCTCTTACCCCACTGTAAATGCCGGAGGTTGGCTGAATGAAAATCCCGAAGAGCCAGAAGGCTGTGCCGATGCTGTTGGTGCAGTAGGATTTGCACCAAAAGTAAAGACTCCCGGGTTATTTGGAAAATTGAAATTAGAAGTGTTACTTCCAAACTGGAACACAGGACCTGGGAAGGTGGGGTGGAAGCAGAAGAGAACAAGAAAGTTGTCATTTGAGTTCATCCTTTCCATCCTCGTGTTCCTGCTATTATATCTAACAGATGTTTCTTTAAACTCACTCAAGATGACGAAGTTCAGGGTGGGAGGGAGGTTTACCAGAAATGCTAGATTACAACAGGAACAATGCTTCGAAAAAATCATTCACTTCAGTAGAGAATCATAAAAGGATTCTTAACCAACATTGCTAGGATGCAGCTAATGAATTGCTTGCTAATTTCTGCACAGCTTATACCTGTGTACACTGCAGTTTATTAATGAAGCCGTAAGTTATAGTACTGAATCATGTAGATTTGCTATTTAAACAAACTGCTGTGTTAATGGCATGAATCTGGGAGACACAGCACCTAATCTTAAAAAAAGATTCCTATTAAAGTAACACAGACAAAACATGGGGATTTTTATCTTTAAACTCTTAATTAACAAAATACTAATACATTGTGCCAACTTATTACTCATCAGTTACAAGTAGGTTACTTGTAATGGAGGCTATTTTGTAGAACTTCTGAGAGGAACGAGGCTTTTTCCCCTTTTTGTGCCTGATGTTATGCTATTAGATACGCATATTCTGGCAGTGTGGTGGTAGTTTTATTATTTTAATTTTTAATAATTTCTAGTGTGGAACAACACCTTCTTATGCTCAAAAGGATCATTCCCCCCAGCATGTATATCATATTTCATTAGTAAAAGCAACTTTAAATAGAACCTGAACCCACACATGCTTAGGACTAATTCTGGCAATGTATTTCCCACAAGAAAACCCCTGATCCAAATAAGTCGCCAAAGCCTGTTAACAAAGCCAAAAAAAATAAGAACTTTTCTGTAGCGAATCCAAAAAGAACCCGTTTGCAGTCCTTCTGCTATTCTGGCTTGTACAACCTGATCAGCGAATACTCCACATTTGGCACTTAATTTTATTTGCTATTTTTTGTCAAGAAAATAAAAGCCAATAATCAGCAGTGGGGTTGCAAGCTCTGCGTTTGCTCAGTCTCTTGTGGGACTTACGGTGAAGTTGGCACACCTACAGCACATCTTCAGGAGTGAGACACAAATTACTCAGCCCTGTACCCGTTATTTTTATGGAGGTTAATTCTTACAGCTAAGCACACACAGAAGGCAGAAGTCTTCTTACTCCACAGTTAAGATGCACTTCATGGAAACAAACAAACAAACAAACGACTCTGAGACCAAAAAAGTTAGAGAATGGTCAGCACTCACCAGCGCTGGAGGTACCAGAGCCAAAACCTGGCTGTTGGCTCGCCTGCTGTCCGAACACAGGGGGCTGAGTACTGCTCGTCACAGAGCCGAAGGCAGGAGGAGCAGGCTGAGAGCCCGCTGAAAACAATGTTGTCGACAGCGATCCAAAACTCGGAGTGTTTGGCTGGCTGGACCCCTGGCTCTGGCCAAATGCTGGTGGCTGACTGGCACCAAATGCTGGGCCAGCAGCAGGTGCTGAAGACCCAGAGCCAAACACAAACGAAGAGGACAACCCTCAGGGAACAGAAGAGAAATTTCAGTATATGCAGGGCTTTTTTTTTGTTTGTTTGTTTGTTTTTGTTGCAGAATGACTCTACGCATCACATTTTCCAAGTCTGGTAAACGAATACTTCAAATATTTGAGATAGATCTTAATGTTTACAGGCAAGTATGTAAAACAACAAACTACCTCAGTCCTATCCCGGCTGGCTGCTTTTCATGTTACTTACAAGAAAAGGTGCATGTTAACAACTCGGACAACATTCATCTCAAACACATTGGCTGTCTAGGCTGAAATTACTGTCTTAGGCATTCATGTTCTAGAAACAAACTCCCACAAACGGTACACGTTAATTTATATTTACTAAGAGCTGCTTCTATCACTTATATATACATAGAACATTAAAATACATAAATCAGCATATATATATATATATATAGAGGTTATATATGATATATATATATGATATATATATATATATATGATATATATATATATGATATATATATATATAGAGGTTCAAAATACAGCTCCTGATCTATTAGGACCTGTATTTTCATTCTTGCCAGCAGCTGCACCCCTTCCCTGTCCAAGTGTTTACCATTATCAGTTCTGGAGGCCAAATCACGCCTGCAGGAATCTAACTATACTCAAAAACTCAGTTTAGTAGAGTAATTCTGTCCCTTCCCATAACGGATAACAAGCTCATTCAATTAGCTGTTTCGGTTCTTCAAGGCCAGCAGAAATAATGAAACAACAATACGTGATTGAACAATGACTCTGAACATACAGCACATCTGCTGAGCAAAAAGGGACATTTTCAACAGCACTATTAATTGGAATGTAATGTAAGCAGCCATCGTGCAACAGAAAGCACCATCTACTGCACCGTAACTTGGAATGGCTGGCTGCTTTTCTTTCCAAGAAGAAAAACATAAATGGTAGCAGTTAACACAGACCTGAAGGCTTCTGCATTGGAACAACAACAACAACAAATCTTTTGCGAAGATTTTTGAAAGATGGCTTAATCTGCAGGTTCAGTTGATCTGCTTATGGCTGTAATTTAGTATGGCTCTTTCTCTGCATGTGGTATACAAAAATTAGTGTAAATTTAATTTCCAGGAATGACAAGATTAAGCCCTCAGATCAAAATGAAATTGAACCTGTAAGGAAGATACTACATCTGTCTCCAAGGACTGCTAAGCTAGCAGGAATACCCATTCCATTATTTAGCCGTTTCAGCCGTGTTACACGGCTAAATTCATGCCAGACTTCAGTAAGAGTAATGCATTTCGAACACCAAGAAAAACTTTAGATTCTCATTTCTGCCTTCAGTGACTTGGCAGACACCTGAAACACTTGCTACTGTGCTCATTAGAAGCCACTCCTTAGGAAGCAGCAATTGTGTGTACAGATACTATGCTTATATGTACTTGTAAAGGACTGACCTGGCAAATCTTGATGTTATTTACAACACTTGAGAGATTTAGGTATGGGAGGGAAAAATTAGGGAAGCTGTAATTAATTGACTTCTCATCTTCTAATCTTAAATACTGGACCGATATTGAGAAGAGGGAAACCATACTTCTCATGGGGAAAAGTGCCCAAATAAATTAAAAGCCAGTAAGGGGCTGTCCGTCGCACAAAACAATACCAGTTCATTTCTATCCTGTATTTCCCAGACCATCTGTGAAAATCTGAGCCCCAGGCGTCAACGTTTTTCTTTGGTCTGCTATCTAATGGCAAAAATGAGAAAAACGTCTTTTTAAATGTACCTGTTGAACTTGATGTGGTTGTGGCTCCAAAGGTAAATCCAGGGTTTGCATTGCTACTGCTGGCTCCTGAACCGAAGACAAACGGAGCAACGGCTACACCAGTGCTGGAAGATGTGGTTGCTGGTTTGTTTTCTTGGGAGAAGCCAAAGGACTGAGATGTCGTAGATTCTGCAGAGTTGCCAAATGTGGAGCTGCTCACAGTGTTGCTGGCTTGTCCAAACACAAAAGGTGCAGGGACCGGTGCAGGGTTGGAGGAAGAGGTGACGCTGCCAAACACGCTGCTGCTGTTGGCTGAAGTGGTGGGTATGGCTGCGCTGGAGGAAGCAGAGCTCAAAAAGCTGAAGGATGGTTTTGCTGCTCCTTGATCTGAGAGGAAGAACACGACATGAGCCACTGCAAGACGCCAAAGGAACTACAGCAGACTCCGTTTCAATCCCTGTACAAAGAGCAATCCTGAACGACACCTCGGTTACGCTCCAGGTACTGGTGATTCCGTCAGATCCAGATTTAACATGCTGATTGCTGCCATCCACAAATCAAGGAGTGGAAGACTTGTGATGAGCAAGGACGCCCCCCTGCAGTCTCGAGGCTTTATGTATTGGTCACAAACACCAAGAGTTGGCTGTAATTATCTGAACCAGTATTAAGCAGTACCTCTGACCTCTTCAAACAAAAATATCTTTCAGGTACTCTTATAAGAACAACATCAATTGCCTGCACCAGTTTTATGGCCTTGCTAAAGGGAGCACTGAAAAGCACAGTGGTACAGCTTCTTTTGTAGCCTGTTCAGAAATGACAGCCCTGTGCCTACAGCTTCAGATCAGGCCAAGCTTACCAGCCCAACTCTTACAGCTAAGTTCACTGCACCTGAATGCCTTGAAGACGTGCTTTTAGGAGCCATGGAGAAGAACCTGCTGTTAAGACCACCGTTACAAAGTACTGAGTGTTGTTTTACACTTCAAATAGAACTATCTGCTAAAGTCATTCATCAGCTTTCCCTAAGCTGCTGCTCTCTCATTACTGAATGTGTTCCTGCTCTCAGTTTCCCACTAACTTTTTCCCCCAGCCTTTATGGCCCCTTTTCATCTACGACACTTTTAAGGGACTACATCATGGTGAAAAATGCTGGTTAACACTTCCTTTTACACAAGGTGCCTCATGAAATTTTCCTGACTAAACCAAACCCCAGAACTTTAACTAGAAGGGGAAGCAAACAAACACACACACCTCCCCTGCCACCAAATCTCCCCAAAACAGATCTGTTCAGGAACAGATCAACTAGAAGAATACTGCGATTAAAATCAGTATAGCCCTCAACACTGCTTTTGTTCAGGATTACTAGCCAACGTCCTTTCCCTGACCACTTCTGGAATTAATACTGAATTCCATACTCTAAAGCATGGCTGGTAAGTCATACAAATGACAGTTAGCAATCAGAATTTTTCCACGCAGTGATCATCAATAAGAACTCCAATCCTCTACTGCAGCCTTTTAACAAAGTAAAGGAAAGCAGAACTGTGTAGTGACTGTTAAGTGATTTTTGGACTTTCGTAGTAGTAGAGAAACAGCACTACGCTCTGTAGCACAGGCACAAGTACATGGGAGTAAGATCCTCGCTCTCATCTCTTTCTTCTCTGAAAAACGCTCGGGTGAGGCCTCTATTTCACCATACTAATGATTTTACCACCAGCTGTACTGCTAGCATTGAGACAGTCCAACTTCTGTGCTTGTACAAGATTAAGTTCCTTAAGTTCCTTAAGGTGTCACAATTTTTTGCCTAAACCTAGTGTCAAAACTCATTGAGATCAAAAAAGGAATTGCTGCTAATTGTGTACGTATCAGTAACTAGGGCAGAAAACACACAATGCATGAATTAAACTTTTTCTAAAGCTCTAGTACACGAACATATCGAATCTCACCAATTTTTTTCTAGTATAGTTTCAGAGTTCTTCTTTGATGGACATAAGCAGACAAGCGAAGACAAAAGATATTCTGTTTACCTGAAGTACTGGTTTGGACCCCAAATGAAAAAGCTGGCTTTGCTTGCTCAGGTTCCTTCTCTGATGGTTTAACGAAACTGAAGTTGAATATAGGTTTTGCTGTGCTCTCTTCTTTTGTATGCTCGGACTTCCCAACTGAAAAGATAGGCTGTGCCTTTGACTCTTCAGCGTCAGCTTTCTTTCCAAACGCTAATGGAGCAGCAGAAGTGACAGAATCCTGCTTCTCTTCTGTCCTTCCCAAAATAAACTGTGAGGCAGCTGCAGACTCTGCACTGCCAAAGGAGAAGCCTCCTTTTGTTGAAGGAGCTTCGTCCTTCTTCTCATCTGGCTTCTTAAATGCAAAAGAAGCTGATACAACCTCCTGGTCTCCAGTAGTTCCAAAAGTGAAGCCACTGACTCCAGTTTTATTCTCGTTGGCAGCCATGGCAGTAGCAGAACTTGTACCAAAAGCAAAACCTCCCAATACTGGTTCCTCTTTCTTTTCCTGCTGTCCCAGGCTCGCGGCCCCAAACCGAAATGTTGAAGGAGCCTGACTACTTGTAGATGGAAGGCCAAAGGTAAAACTGTTACTTTTTCCTTCTTTTTTACTCTCTTCTGATTTAGATAGCGAGGATGAAACTCCAAATTTGAAGTCCCCTGGTGTACTAGGAAACTTAAATCCCCCAACCACATTGTTGGAGGATGCAGATTCAGAGGCAATGCCAAACTTGAAGCCCCCTTGTTCTCCAAATTTGAAACTTCCCGTGCTATCTAACGTATGAGAAGACTCAGAGGATGATGATGACTGAACACCAAATGTAAACGATGGTAAGGCAGCATTTGTGGACACAGTAGCAGTACCAAAACCTGCAGAAATAAGTGAACATCAGGTTTGTAACACATGGTGTACCTGCAGTACATGAAGGTTTTAACAACACTCTAGTCCTGATCTTTCCAGTCAAAACTGTTTAAAAAACAACCCACCAAACAGTAAAACAGGAAAACCCCATGCTTCCTCCCTACATCAACCTTTTCACAATTGTGTTTTCTGTCTACCACCTGGCTTTAAAAAGTACAGAAACTTCTTTGAAAGATCATGTTTTTAGTCTGCACTCCAAATGAACAACACGTAGGGCATGTAAAGAACAAGCATGTCATTAATGAAAGCTTTTCTCTAGAAAGGATAAATTTATTCTTGGGGAAAAGTGTGGAAACAGCTGTTATCTTATCGAGGCAATATTCCTATAGGAAAAATGAACAATTACACCACACCTCAAAGGAAAAAATAATTGTGCTTGAAAAGTAAGAAAATAAAAAATCAGAGCAAAACAAAAAATAAAACACAGAACACGCATCCTCGTTTTAATCAGTAAGCGTTACCTTTGAGATCTGCTTTGGTGCCTGGCTTTGCACTTTCACAGGCTACACACTTTGTGGCCTCTGCTTTGTTTCGAACCAAGCAGGTCTCACAATCCCAGCTTCCTTCAGGCTTCTTAAATTTGTCTAAATCCAGAAATTCTCCAGAAGGAGCAGAAAATGTCGATGCACTGCTACTGGTCACAGGTGTTAGACCCTCTACAAGAAAAACAAGACAGTTAACCATCCTGTTTGAACATCAACTATAAAATGAACATTAACTTTTAAATTTGGTTTATCAGACCCCACAGAAATGTTCAAAACAACTCTGAGACGCCCCCCTCCACCCCAGAAAAAACAAAAGCCATCAAAAACCCACAAAGAAGTCCAAGAGAATCAACTCTGACTGAAATCCATTACCTTACCTCACGAAATTTCAGTCTTACTGTACAGGATGATTACAAAAGCCCGATCTAGTCCATCTCAAATTGTTTCATCCCAGATATATTTGCAAAGGTGTTTTTTGATGTAATGGCATATTAAGTGACGTTTAGAGTCAAAGTTAAAATCAGAATCGTATTTTAAAAACAATACAACCACGCTCAAAATCAATTACAGTCGCGCACAATGGGAAACAACCCAGGACTGCCCTCAACAAGTTACCCAGCGGGTCACTCACTTTCTTGAAGCCTATCACTGACCTTCATAGGCATCTCTCTGCTTTAGCTTAAGACCAGTTAAGACTACAGCACTGTCTTGAAATCTGGCTTTGCCTCAATTACATACAAATGGTGAATAGAGGCATTTGGGCCATATTTTGTAATTATTTTTACTTATTTCTGAAAGAGAAAACACACAGCAATTTTTATCTCTTTCTATGGAGTTCTCATTTGCGCCAGTGAAAAATCAGTACGTCGTTTTTGAATTAAGTCACCCAGTCCAGCCATCTTCCCTCACCAGCTGCAAAGCAGGGCATATTTGCATTGATCCAGCTCCGTACCAATAGGTTTCACAACCGCTTCAATTTATGCGACAGGCTGGAACCTGGGCTGAGACCTCTGAAGTGCCTGTAAACCAATCCTGCAGGCAGCCTCTAATCCATCAACTGGATCTGGGAATCACGTTGCTTAAAATGTTCCATAAATGCAACGTACTTTTCTTCTGTACAAGATTCACAGAGGCTAAGATGGAAACAACAGGAAAAAATAAAAAGGACCATACCTGGTTTCTCAGACTGACAAGCTACACATTTGTTATCTTCTGCCTTATTTGATACAAGACATATTGCACAGTCCCAAGAGCCTTTCGGCTTCTTAAATTTGTCTCCAAAGTCCAGAGTGAGTGTCGTGTCAGTGCTGCTCGAGGAGGATGTCACTGTCACTGAGCTGTCTGTCACCACTGGTAATGTCAGAGCAGGCATTACTCCCGTTCCAGGTTTTGGCGTCTCACATGCTATACATTTTGTCGCTTCCGGTTTGTTTTGGACAAGACAGGTATCACAATCCCACGTTCCAGCTACTGTTTTGAATTTGTCTCCAAAGCCCAGCATCTCTGCTGGGGGCGCTGTTGGCTTTGAGGTGTCACATTGGCTTGAACTTATTGTCTGTTTCGTAGTCTCGACTGTCGATGCTTTAGTCGCTTGACAAGTTACACATTTGTTGTCTATGTCTTTGTTTTGCAGAAAAGGGTCACATGTATCAGATTGCCAGTATGATGCTTGTTTAGAAGTCTCTTTACCTGCAGAAAAAGTTGTTATTGCAGGCCTAGTATAAATCACTGTGCTTGTTGTAGGTTGTGCAGATGTAGAAGAGTGTGTTTTCAAAAATCCAAAGTCTAGGGAGCAAGAAAAAATAAGTCAGACTGTTAGCGCAGCACCTCACTACATGCAACTAAGTGACTTTACTAGGGGACAAACATTTCAACTCAGGTGCCAATGGTTATAACCAGACATTCAGACCCAGCGCAACAGGAAGGCCCCAGAAATCTTATCTAAACGGATGAAATTTCATATGCTGCACTGGCTCACAACAGAACATTTATTTAAAGCTTCATTTAACTCTTTGTTTCCGAGGAAGTTTCAAATCAAAATTTGCACTGCTTGAGACAAGTACGAACAAACAGCTGACAGGTTTGACAGCCCAACGCGGAATGGAAATAATACAATTTCATTAAGATGCGATGCCCAATCGAATCAAATTTCTAGAGCTCCTCCTTCCGTAACAGATGACTCAAATTTACTTTAGTAAATGTACGGAAGTTTGTACTTGAAGCAGCAATCCATGCAGTATTTTCCCACAGATGCTGAATATTAATTAAATAATAAAAACTCGAGACAATTGAACAACTGTCTAATTTTCTACAATATTTGTTCAAAATGCATCGCACACAGGACAACTCCTGATTCAAAGGTGGCAATTTTAACAGAAAAGACAAGCTACTAATACAGAAACACTAAAGGAAACGCATCTTGAATAGCAGCTCAAGTTGCTCGTAAATGTACATTGAACGTAGTTGTTTTGTGGTTTTTTGTTTGCTTTTTTTTTTTTTGCTGTTTTGTTTTTAAATCAGAAGTGAAGTTTTTGAACAATGTGGATTTAGATTCTGCTTCTTTTAAACTGATACAGTGAATGTCACAGATTTGCAGCTTTTGCAATATCTTTAGAACCGAAACTCTTTACTATTCTTTCTGCACCTGGGCTGAAGGTGGGACAGGAGCGTCGAGATTTACAAACATTTCCTTTTCAATTCCACAAATTGTATTTACTTAAAATGAAACATTGATCATCTAGCTAGTTCTCTTAGTACCTCCGTTACAGTTACATCCTAACACATAAAGGAGATGCAACCCATCTGGTTTTCAACTTGCAGTTTTACTTCCAGCAACAAAGACAACTTCACTTAGAATAGAAGGGGCAGATGCACCCTAACAAACGCAGCGCTTAATGTAATGCTCTCCTATGTTCATATTTATAGAAAATACTCTCTTAACCATAAGTTTGTTGGTTGTTTGTTTGTTTGAAATCAAAAATGCTAGCGTATTTTTTAAAAGGAGTTCATTATCTCACCAGGGTTTTTTAGAACGTCTAAGACGCTTCCTTCCTTTAATCCTCGTCCATATTTAAAGGGAACTCTGAAGGGAACAGCAACAAAACCTTGTTTGTCCTCTTGCTCATTGTTGGTGGATGCGGATGAGCTAGTTTCTTTTGAAACAAAAGAAAACAAACAGCTGTCACAATGCGACCTACCTAGAGCACATTATACTCACTTGCGTTAGAAACAAGAATTTCCAACTTTCATGCTTCTCACGGAAGAACCTTCACCAATTCTACTTACTTTATAATGGTTTATAATTACAAGCAATAAAAACGGATCTGTCACTGGAAAAATACTGCAGAAGTCCAACACTGCCCGGAATTGCTAGCATGCACAGACAGGACAGGTTTAAGATTTAATAAAGAAGAAAAGAAAAATCAGCACTTCAGATGTGAAGTGCTAAGATTTCAGTTACCTAGGGTAAGAAAGGACGTCACGGGCGTATCACCGGATCCAGAAAGCTCTGATGATTTTACAACGGGAACACTAAATGTAAACCCAATCTGCTATGAACAAGAGAGGTTTTTCAGAGCCACAGGAACGTCAATCAAATGCATACACAAAACCAAATCTGAAAGCTGGTCTTCACATTTGTAGCATGCATGCTGAATGACAAATTATAAGCCAGAAGCCTACATAGTTCTCTCCATCAAGGCAGACTCAGCTTTAGTGTTCTGCAACAGCCTACTAAATGCCTAAGAAAACAAGTCTAGCTTCTTTATTAGTTTACTTACAGGAAATGTAGATAGCACTTCTGCCTCCGTAGACTTCACAATTGGAGATGAAAATGCAAATGCAGGACTGCTAGCATTACTTGTTGGCTGTATCTGTATTTTCAAAAGAATTCAAGGTTTACATTTAAGAGCAACAACTACCTGAATTCACTACCCAACACAAGTCCTGCAGTGACGTTGAAAAGCTTGATGTTTCAGTTATTTTGCAGACAGAAGTAGTAATAAAACAAAGTCAAGTTTCCTAGTGGGTATAGGACAATATCTTCACAACCAAATTCCAGAAACCCAGAGGAAAAGCTGGAGATGCTACTTAGGTCTAAATGCATGGAAAAGCAAACCAGGAAGCTGAAGAACGGTAAACTCAGCCCAGTGACACTCCAAGAACTTCAGCAAACACCTCAACGTATTACATCAGCTACCTACTTCAAACCATACAAAAATATTTCAATTGCTCTGGAACAGATTGATGTTTATTTTATTGCAATAATATGCCAATTATTGCACCCTAGGCTCATTCTATGCGAGGCTTATACGACCACATTACCTCTAATTTAATAACTTAAATAAAGTTGTGGTTTAACCATTGTAGGCAACTAAGCACCACACAGCCACTCGCTCACTCCCTTCAAGTGGAACAGGGAAAAGAACTGGAAACAAAGAAGTGAAGTTGTTAAATTTGAGGTACCATTAATGACTCATCACAGTAATGGCTACCTGGAAAGACGAATGCCATAACCCTGTACGTACCCCCAGCTCCTTCCCCTTCTTTCCCCCACCATTTATTGCTGGGAATGATGCTAAATGGTGTGGAATATCCCCTTGGTCCTCTGGGGTCGGTTGTCCTGGCTGGGTCCCCTCCCAGCCTCTTGTGCATACCCAACCTCCTCGCTGGCAGGGCGGTGTGAGAAACAGAAAAGGACTCGTCACTGTGCAAGCACTGCTCAGCAACAGCTAAAACACCAGTGCCTTACCAACACTGTTTTGGTCACAAATCTGCAACGCAGCACCATCTACTATGAAGAAAATTAACTCTACCCCCGCCCAAATCAGTATAAATAGCTTGCCATAAAAGCCACACCCCATTCCCCCCCTGAATCCCACAGCATTTGAAGCAGTTACACAATCGCATTAAACAGAAGTTTGCAAGGTCTAAGACTGAGAGAAGCAGAATCAAAACATTTGTGCGTTTTTCCCCAAACTGGCATGCGACCCCAATTTATTCAGCCAAGCACAAACTAACATTCATTAGCTTGACGAGCACCACACAACTCGCAACAAAGCGGCATACTCACCCGAAGAAGTACTGACAGCAAAAAGACTTACCTGGCCCGCCGCCGTGATTGCCACGTCTCCCGCCGCCATTGAATTTGTCATGCTCGTCGTAGTCGTCGCCGCTGAATCTGTCTTGCTCTTTGCCAGTGTTAGATAAGGTATGCCCGTCGCCACTGCTGGGTATGTCACGCCCACCGACACCGCTGGATATGTCACGCTCCCCCCTGCCACTGAGTATGTCATTTGTTCTACCTCCTCCTCCTCCTCCTCTTCCTCCTCTAGATATGTCATGTTCGCCTCCGCTGCTGATGGATTGCCCGCCCCCGGCGCTGCAGCTGGATTTCCCACCCCCGGCGCTACTGCCGGGTTTCCCTCGCCTGCTGCTGCTGCTGCATTTCCTGCAACTGCATCTGCTTTGCGACTTCCCATATCTCCCGCTGCTTCTCCATGGCCCGTGCCTGTCGCTTCCACTCTTCTTGAAATTCCTGTTTTCGCCGCTCGATTATCCAGGCCAGCTCCTTCTGCAGGGCTTCCCATGCCTTTTGCTTCTGCTGGATTCGCTCTTCCCGTCGCTGCTGCCGGCGTTGCCATGCCCAGCGCTGCAGCAGGCGTTGCAATGCCCGTTGCTGCCTCTGGAGTGGCAACGCGCTTTGCTGCTGCTGGAATTGCCATGCCCGTCGCAGCTGCTGGAGTTGCCATGCTCGTTGCAGCTGTTGAAACAGCGCTTGGTGACGCCCAGACAGCACTACTACCAACAAAACTAAAATTGAACTGAGGCAGCGACGCAGTACCGATGGGTAGGGGGATTTTCGGTAGCACTGGTTCCTCCACTTCCTAAAGTTGTAAAAGAAAAATTTAAATTTACCAGACGTACTTTTACAAGACTACTTTCTCACATTGTCCCACCCAATTTATTAACAAAATGAAATCAAACAAAAACCCATGCAAATTCAGAGAAAGCAAGTTTCCAGGAGAAAGCCTGATCTCCCCACCTCTGTCCACTAGGTCTTTTTAATTTATGGCAGGCCTGCTTCCACATAATACTCTGTTCAACAACTGTACAGCAAGAACACTGAAAGTTAACTCAAAACCTGTGCAGAACAAAGAGGCACAGATCAGATTTTTCTTTTCCTTTCCTATACTTTGGTCATCAGAGCTCTAGAGAAGCATCATCCTTTCTAACTACCCTCACACCTCTTCAATTAAGAGTACACTCTCAAGACAAATGAGAAAGCGTTCCTCTTGCAAAATTAGGCAGGAGGGTTGCCAAAGTTTCTAAAGTCACTACAGCAGTGAACGTGGAAAAAGGTCATGTTTCAAGAAGCAGGTAGCTTCAACAACCAACCTAAACGCAAAAAGCACCAAAGAAAGTCAGACTAGCAGCACTGAAGACTCTATTCTGGTAAATACAGCCCATACCACGTATCGGGACACAAATGCAAAAGTCAGAAAACGCTGTTTTCAAAACTTCCATTTTTATCCCTTCCACTTACTTTATTTGATTACTAAGATTGGATGAGTTATGTTTTAAATGACGTAGACAATCTGATCAAAATTTCAACAGTACTATCACGATCTACTTAGAAATGACTAGGCAGGGACGTAAGGAGGTACTACTGATATTCAGTGCATAAGGCAGCTTACGTCTGTTTCACTGTTTTGATTTGAAAAATTTATGGAACTTAGAATATTTGGATCATGTTTGGACCATTTAATGTCCCATTTAATGTTTTTAAACTTAAATTAAATACTTAATATTAAATATTAAATGCTTTAATTAATAAATAACATTTAAATTAAAACTATTTAATTGTAAATACTTTAAATTAAATACTTAACATTAACTTAGTATTAATTAAATATTTACGTTACTATTAAGTATTTAAATTAACTTACAGGCACCTCACATAACATCCAGTAAAAGAAAAAATAATCCGAATATTCACGGTCACAGTTTTATGGAATAGATTTTTCTGATTAAAATGAGAAAAAACTCTCACAAGGAGTTTGGTGATTCTCAAAAATTGAGTCATCATTAGCAGACATGCAGAATGCTGTCTTCTACTACTCTTTTTCAAACTCTTGGCCTGTATCTTTTTATACGACTTAAATATGAAACCAAAAATTAAACTTTTTCTTTCTTTTTATACTTGGCACTCATGTCAAGTATCATTCCTGTATAAAAACTACACAAACCTTCACCAAAACATTACTTCTGTTCTTAGGACTCACGCGTTAAATTGCTAATGAGAAACGTTATAGTTCGAAGAATCTCCAAAGTAGCAGAACTAAAAATTTCAAAATTATGTAAGCAAAGTTCAGGCATTCAAACACAGTAAATCAATTGAGCCTGCTCTGAAACCCACAGGAAAACATCATGCAAAACTAAAGAGGTATTATTATAATGTACTATGATGCAATAAAACTGACACACTTAGCTACTGACTTCAGCAATCTCAGTCACAGCAATTAATTTAAGAGTCACTTACCTGTTCTTGTACAGATCTGGATAAATAGTGTAATCCTCTTTCCCTTCTCATTTTGCCGCCTCCACTACTCATTCCTGAGGACAGACCATTGGATGCGGCAGTACCGAAGTTGTAGCTGGTCACATTTCTCGTAGTTTCACATTTCACACCGCTCACATTTCTGTAGCTGGTCACACAACAGTACAGAAGTTGGGAGAAAAAAAAAGAGAAAAAAAAATTAATCAGACAATTTTTTCCAAGACATTATAGCTGTTATTAGTCCTAGAATTGAAACCTGCTAATCAGAAAAAACGAAAGCTGTCTCACAAGTTGCTAAATGCTGGTAAATACTTGATGTTCTAAATCGGAAAATCTTTATTAACAGCAGCAATGAAAAGGACATACATAAGCGCACCATTCATACGGGAACAACGACTAAGCCAGAAGACCTGAAATAGAAGAGCTGATTTAGATTGCTATTTTCCAACGCTTCCTTTAAACAGGACTGGTTCTCTGATTCTGCGATGAACATGCATCTTTGCAGGGATATAAAAGAACAACTCACGAAAATATAGAAAGAGTGCTCATATGCACTTTTTCACACACGGGACACGCTGCCAACAGCTATGATAGAACAGAGAGGCCGTAGACTTGTGTGGCAAGGTAATACAGCATAAGCTTCAGAAGCAGCTCTGGCTTTCATGTGGCCATCAGCAGCAACAGCAGAGGTGTTTGGGTGTGCCAACATTCCAGTCTTTTCAGACATGAATAGAGATCCCTTTTGTAAGGCACACAAAGGCATTTTTCTGTTACTTAGAAAAGCCTAGACCAAAACCAGAAAGATTTCCTCATCTCAGTGGAAACAGGGAAAAAAATATCCCAAACCAGAAGTGAAATAGGGAATAGCACTAATAAAAGCACTATGGCAAGAAAATGAAGTCTGCCTGGAAAAACTGTGACATCAAAGCTTATCTTGCAGCCAATCAGGAAGTACAAAAGTGCATTAGATCACACTGGAAGACACCAGCTCAAACTCCCAGAAGACTGAGGAGGAGAACTGGTCTAAACCTGTCAAATACTTGACAACAGCCTGCTTAGCACTCTGACTGCATAGAGGAAGACAGATCCCTAAGGCATATGCTCAGACTTTTCTCTAATCCAAACTGTCAATCAATTAGAACACTGAAAAAAAGTCTTACATCAGAATAGGTCTTTATTCGGACAAGTATCGTTTGCCCATAATAGCCCATATTCCTCTTTCTGTTAACGCCTGTCAGCTTCAAGGGGGCAAAGACAATTGTCAGCCTTCAAGCAAGTCTGATCTACAATTGGACTCAGGCTTAACAAAAAAATTTATATATATATATATGTATACACACACACACACATATATAGCATTGGTGGGCCAGAGATTTACTGAATATTCCAACTCAGCTGTCCAAAGGGACTCTTGCCAGCAGATCATTGTGGTGCTCCTGCTCCAGAACATGGCACCCAACAGAGACCAGCACCACAAAAAACACTACCACCACTACCTACTCTACAAACAAAAGGTAGGGCACTGCAATGGACTGTGTCAACAAAATCAAAAGCAGTATGAGTTTTCTGGATCTCCTTCCTACATGGAGAAGTAGAAAGGAGTGCTAACAAAGATAATTCAGAACAGTTTGAAAAAAACATAATTAAAACCCAGCAGCTGTTTGCACCTGTACCAGAACCTTAAAGCCAGTCGCTTCCACCCCTAAAAAGGCGGTGGTTGTGAAGTCGAACTTTTAGATGCCAAGACAAAAACGTTGAGTTCTTTCTGCAAGCCAAAGAATGCCCACGGTCACATAAGAATTGCTTGGCAGATGAGCAGAGTCAGCAAAATTCCCTGCTACTGTTCTTGGAAAAGAGCAACCCCCTAAAAAGGTAGGGTGCAAAATGTCCGAACTCAAGCGTTATTACCCCAAACACCATTTGCCCAGAAGGGAAAGCCATCAATATTATCTGGAGGATAACTCATCCTAACCCTAACCAACTAACTCATTAATTAACATCCTAAACCAAGAAAGCAGTATAACACAAAGCAGTCTCCTCAAGAAGAAGTTCAGTTAATTCTTCTGGATTTAGTTTTTTTATTTTAGAGACGAGTTAGCATTTGGCCTCAAATGATTCTAAACAACACAGGGTCTTCATGTGAACTCAGAGCAAACAATTAACTTCATCATGAAAGGAGCATTAAAAATAAATAAATACTAATAAATCTTCTTCCAGGTTTTTGCTTAAAAAATAAAGAAAAAAAAACTGTGACTCACTTCGCCTACTTTACCTTCTAAAGAATACTTCAGAAAGAATCATTCCATGAGGACAGAGCTTTCAAACTCCCAGCAATTAACTAGCTAAAACTAATAGCTTTTCCCCTAGGGAACATTAAGAGGGACAAATTGTTTTGTTATAAATAAACTGACATACAAACTATGAAATAGCTGTCACAGCAAAATTTGTAACACTAAAGATTTAGTTAAACTACAAAACGATCCCTATTTCCTAGAGAAGGAAAAAATTAGGCCTCCAAAAGCACAGAGCCTTTCCGTGGATACAGCATTATAGCATGCCTTGTTTCCCATCTTCACATCCTACTCAGAAGATAAACTTGGCATAAAAAGTGGTGTATCAGTCATGTATCAGTCATTTTATTATTGTTCATCTTCATTCTTTTCATAAAAGCAACAATTTTCTCAAAGTTACACTGGTCTTCAAACACAATCTGGACTTCGCTGTTCCCTCAAAATACAAAGTTTTCCTTGCATTTCCCATTCCTTTTACTGACAACTGTCACCACCTTTCCAAAAAGGCAAGCATGCAGACTGTACTGAAAAGGAGATTTCTTTCTTCCTTCAAGTAAGTTTTAAATGAATAAATGTCATACCTTCCACATTGTTCTGCTTGCTGTTTCACAGGCGAAGTCTTCTCTCTCATCCACTGCAAGTTAAATTTATTTCAAGATTTAGCTGAATAGATACAGAATACACAAAGTACCCAAAACCACTTATGTGTTGTTTTTTTTTTTTTTTTTTTTTTTTAATTTATTTTTAATTTTATAGCACTGAATACGCCTCACCTACTTAACCTTGTTCCCTAATTCAGCATTGTGGGTACAGTTCAGTTAAACTTTGGGGCTAAAGTGAGCATCACTGCTTCACTCAGCACTGAGGACAAACTGATAGAACACTAAATCAAATTTGTCAAATTCTCTACCAAAGAAAGTAATTATTTTAAACAACATGACAAAAATTGTGTACATGTGGGGCTGAGTTTACCAACCCCGTAAAAGGGACATACTTTTCTGTTTTCTATCATTTATCAACAAACAAGGAAAAAAAAAAATCTCTACCTCCCCTAAAAACTAAGCAGTTGCTGCTACATGTGGTCTAGAACTTCACCAAATGGAGATTGTGCTGGCTAAACAATACAGAGATGGAAAGATTTAAAAGCAGTAAGTAACCAGTATGACTGCTCACTTTGATTTCCTGCCTAAAAAGCCCATACATTTAACACGTCGTCATTTGTACGCTCAGACTGATACTGGAAACATTGGGGTTTTCGCAGAAGGAGATGCCAATTTAATTTTATGGAAAATTTATCAGACTCCATCTACACCAAAGCAATCAAAAAGGATAACTCAGTGCATTGTCAGCTCTCACTTGGAGCACATAGCTCACCTGAAATAGTTTACACAGAACATGAGCATGTTTCAGCAGTGACAGCTTTGTGTTCATGAGAATACAAAAGGAAAACATTTCTCTCTTTTAATATTCTTTCACTGAGCACAGGGTGACTCAATAGCACATCATGACATCATGAAAACAACAACAAGACACTGAGCATTCCAAAAACAGAATTAAATCCATAAAAGCTCAATCTATTTCACAATGGTTCCCACTGCCTTAAAGCTCGCCTCAAACATACTATCAGTACTTTTTGCAAAGACAGTATAATAATTGGTTTGAGAAACATTCCAAGATTGTAAAAAAAAACAAACCAAAACACAACAAAAAAACAGGCATATAAGGACTCAAAAATGTACTTACTTGGTACTTTGTGTCTACTCTGTTGCAAATTTTGCTGGAATCAGGAGTTGAAGTCTTTGCTGGTTTAGAATACTGGACCCGACGCATTGAATGAAGGTTTAACCTTGGTTTCACAAGTCTCTTTACAGGTGGATGCTGGGACTCATTCTGGGAGTCCAGCTTTGAAAGGGAAACAGCAATCAATTTATCCTGACGTCTACCCAAAATAATTCCAATATTTATTGATGAAAACAAATTACAGAACTATAAAGCTCCCATCGGTCTTGGCACTCTGTGAATACAATTTGAAAATTCTAAAAACCATTCAACCTATAGAGGGAAATCACCAGAAAACCAGTAACAAAATCCATAAAGCTATATTTAAGTAGCCAAAGTCTGACTGAATTCCATTTCAAAATGTGGCAGTTAGCTTTGCAGACAAAATAATTCATGCTACCATAATTAAAATAACTCGGGTTCCTATATGTTCCTATCTTTTCCTGTGCCCACACTGATTTTTTTTTTAATAGCTTAATTCATTAGTTTAACATTCAAAGCGTTAAGCAACTAATTATACAGGCTTCTGGGCTTCACATCCCCTACATTTTCCCCCTTCAAAGTCACACAAACAATAGAACACATTCAAAATAAAGTTGTCAATCTTACAATAATCTCATTCATTAAACTATGATCCAATGCTTTAGATGTGCATTTAGATGCACATCAAGTAGTGGGTTTGACTTCATTTTTCAACACATTTTCACAGACCAGAGTTACTTTTTAACACAGACCACCGCATGTTCTGCAGAACTGACTTAACTGAACTGTCAAACAGAAAACAAATCCTGAAGCCTAAAAGATTTACCAATGGCTCCACCTGCAGTCTTAAGGATCAGAAGATACAGTCTTAGCAAGTATGCTATTGTTCAAATCAATACCAACAGAAAATGGTTTACATTGCAGCTTTAGTTTCACAGTATCTCCCAACTCTTAGTAACAGAATTCACACCACCTATGAAGTGTACAAAAGTATATCTTTCTAAAAATTATTACATTCATTTTGAAACCTTGAATAAAATACGTTTTATGGAAGCTCACAAATCTCCTTCGAGTGAACGATGGTTCACTGCTGGTTTAAAGGTAAAAAAGAAAAATATTAATTCCCCCAGTTAGGCATTTAATACACCAAGAGCTATTCTGCCTGGTACAGTTCCTTGAAATAAGAAAAATACCACATCACTGCGACCCGCTGCAGAAGTTTAGCCTGAGTGCACAAGTGTTCTGTCAACCCCACGTTCACTTCAGCAGGAAAACACACAATCATCTCCTTCGCAAATAATTGCTTCTCATCAAGGGCTACCCTTCTCCTGCCAAGCATTATGAATTCCAGTATTAGATTGTCTCTTCATATCTCCTCCTACCCAGTGACAGCTGCGTGCAACATTCATTTAGTGGCTGACAACTTCAGGCTTTCTGTTGCAAATCTGGCAGATCTTTCTTAATGCCTTATCACAGGTGTATTTCTATAGTAGAACTGAGAGTTCACACCAGATTTGTTTTTAGTTATTTGGATAATATTTATGATAGACTTCACTTCTCAATGCCTTTGTCATTTGGCATATGGTGAAAAGATGGCACAGGAAAGCTGACATGTTTGCAAACTCTCAAGTGATTGTAAACTTAATTACACATCCAATCAAGGAATTAGCACAGAAACTTCTTCAGACATTGTCCCTTTTCTCATTAGAACAGAAGATGAAGAGTGTGCACATCCTGTTCTTTCCTTCAGTCACCTCATCTTAAAGCGGTCCTTTCAGGGTTTTGCAATTTAATAAACCCAATGACACCCCTAATTAAAGTCACCAAAAAAAGATGACCGGTTTTCATTTTTTAAACAAAATGAAAGGAAATCATGCTTTACCACAGCACTATCACCAATTCTGTGCTACCTCCAAATAGGAATTCAGGAGCATAAGATTTATAGTGTCAGAAATTAACCATTTTCCTTGGTTTTACCTTGAATGGTGATAAAAAGCAGAAAAATAGTTTGCTGTGCCTAAATGAACACCCAAGTCCGTACAAAGTCTATATGACCAGTCAAGCAGTATTTTTCTGTTTGTGATCATTTCTTCAAGAGAAAAAATTTCCTCAACAGGAATTTAATATGCAGCTTCACCCCAAACTGGGGGACAAGATAAAACTACTTCGTGTGTTCTAGAGTCGTTGCTCTCAACTTACAAAGATAACAAATCTTAACGTGAGTAATCTTTACAGCCCTTCATCTCTTGTAGATAGATGCCAATATTAACTTGATTAGATGCGTATGTTGTCATTGAGGTTTGAGAAAATTTTTCTAATAGTGATAAAGCATTAGAAAAGTTATCTACCTCATCTTAAGACATTATTGGTTCTTACCTTTCTTCGTTTGGGCTGAAGGTCAGGAATATTCAGTTCATCTATGTCTGGAGGCTAAGGGAAAAAATAAAGCCTAAATGTTAGAGGGCTTTTCTTTTTTCCTGAGAGAGGGTTCCCTGCAACAAAAATATGGGGGTTCATGGTCAACTTACAGAACTCAGCGGCAAAAGAGGTGGCATTTTTTTAGCATCCTGTTGAAAAAATAATGCAATAAATTAAACTTGACACAACATAAGGAAGAACAGTTTTATCTTTCTCCTTTGATGGCACATTTACTAAGTTTTAGAACCACGTGAAGCAAAAACGGATTAAAAGAAGTGCTATTTACCATCAAAGGGCTTGACAGCTTCTCCATTGCCTCCAAGATGCACCGTGCTGCGGTACTTAAGGTAGCGTGGGACTGCACTTTTTCTTGCCTAACTCTCCTTCTCATTTGTACCTGGAAAATTAGCATTTTAAGTGTTACAATGGTCAATCCCGAGTTAAGGAGGCATGTATTTTATGTTCCAAGGCTACACTGATGATATAACCAATATATTCTGATGACAGAGAAAAATGCAGTCACTGGGAGTTCAAGCCGTAAAGAAGAGTACATGCTGAGTACAACGAAGTTTACCTTGGGCCTCAGTGCATCTTGCACGTGCTTGTTGCGCGAGTAATAAAAGAAATCCATACTTGTAAAAGGTCAAGACGGATGATGCTAGGACTGCTAAGGCCTCCAAAGCAGTAATCAGGGAAACAGAACTCAAGAAAAGGCTTGTGGTACAGAAAGTGCTTTCGCTAACAACACAGACCTCAGAGTTTCACGATGGTGTAGGTGTACCATCTTAAAATCAGTGTATACAATCATAACCAGGAACTAGTTTTACTTCTCTCTTGCTTCCTCCCTTCCTCCAAGATTAAAGTTGGCTGCAAATCTTTGTTTTAAAAGATAAAGATCCGATTTCAACTGTAACAGATCTAAATATTACACTGAAAAAGTGAACTGTTTATTTGCACCACCCAACTTCAAATATCATGCAAAAACTTCCCTTGGTGTGACTTTTTTCTTCCCATGTTAAACCCCTCTGTGTTTATCACACGATATGAAGACAGGAAGCAGACCACGCAGCATATAAAAACACAAGTGAGACTCACAGAACGGTTACGGTTGGAAGTGACCTCTGGAGATCACCTGCTCTACCCCCTGCTCAAGCGGGGCCACCCCAAGCAGGTTGCCCAGGACCATGTCAAGTCAGCTCTTGAAGACCTCCAAAGAGGGAGACTCCACAGCCTCTCTGGGCAACCTGTGCCAGGGCTCCATCACCCGCACAGGAGAAAAGCATCTCCTGATGTTCAGACAGAACCTCATTTTGTTTGTGCCTGTTGCCTCCTGACCTGGCACTGGGCACCGCTGAAAACAGAATGGCTCTCTTTGCTCTTTGCACCATCCCTTCAGGTATTTACATACATCAATAAGATCCCCCCCTGAACCTCCTCTCCTCCATGCTGAACAGTCCCAGCAGTCTCGGCCTCTCCTCAGAGGAGAGGTGCTCCCAGACCCTTGATCGTCTTGGTGGCCCTTCGCTGGACTCTCTAGTACATCGCTGTAATCCACAGCAAGCAGCAATAAGCAAGCTTCTCTCTCCTTTAAAAGCCTAGTATTTTGGTTCCTCTTGTTACCATAATCCACTACTATTGTTAGAAAACAAAAATAGCTGACCAAAGAGGGTTCCCAGCTTTGAACCACAAGTTTTCAAGGTTTCCCCTAAGTGAGCTACTGCCCTTGTTCCATTGCAGAGCTGGACTGTCAGAACAGATCCAGCAAACCCATGTTTTCATTTCCTTAAAATTCCTTTTGATTTATTGATAAAAGTCAAATTGATTTAAATGCATTCCTACCAAACCTGATTTGACTTTCCTTTTCGATTCAGCTCTAGCTAATCAGAGTTGTCAGCAGTTTTTATTTGCTATTTCCAAGAACTCTTGGGGGCAAATACCTCTCTTCAAGAACTATATGAATCATTCAAAATAGAAAGCACGTTACTGCTTATCTTGGGACTGCATTTAGGCCTGCATGCCTCTACGTAACAGAAGAGCAAAGGATCAGCAAAGTTAATTTTAGATATTTTTAAAGAGCGCAGTTTTATACAACAGATCCATAGCATGAGTGCAGGCATGCTTGCAAAAAAAGATCCACACATAAACATTGGCCAGGTTTGACTACTGTAGCTTTTGCTACTATAAACACAACTTTTCAAAGTTATGCTGCCATTGTTTTTATTTACATTAAAATAACACCATGCAATGTAGTCAGAGGCAGACAATGGCACTCAAATGGAACTTCTTGAAAGAAGTAACAACAGAGGAAACCCCAACTACCAACAACTAGCCTAAACTGTCATTCTTGCTCTTTCTGGCAAGTATTACCTGTGGTAAAAACTGCTAAAAAAAGAACTTAACCCGAAATCAATCTCTTCTATTTTTGTAGACCAAGAGGGCAGAAGAGCAACTGGTACCACATATTCAGCTCCCTGCTCAAAGCTCCTTTGGCAGTGCTGCTTTTTTATTTCCATCACTATTTCCCATTACCCTACTTTTCTCATACCCGATAAGGTTCTATCATCGACGGCTTTGATTTTCCAGCTGCACCACCATAGGCCGTCTTTCCAGGGTAAAATGGAGAATACCCAGGCTGGTTTTTCTTACAGTCAGATGTGCTTCCGCGTGCCTACAGAAACACAGTACGTTAAGTGGACAGAAAACCAGCTACACATTCAAAGTGATTAAAAGAAAGACTGTGCAGTACTTACAGCACAAATTCCTCCAAAAGCAGATAAACTGAATGCAGGTTTCTTAGAGCTAGCTGCAGAATGCTGCGAGAGGGAATGAGTTCTATCAGCTTCTGTGGTCCAGAGCAGTGATGAAGAAGTATTTTTTAGAACTCCAACATCTGCCAAAGTGACATATATGTTAAATGTAAACGTCTCTAGTACATACAGAACTTTAACAGTAAAGACCGCACTAATTCAAGTTCTTCAACACGGAAAAATAAACGTGGCTTCAGCTTCTTTAAACAGCTTCGTGTACAGACTGAAAATCAAGTAACAGCTACAAACTTGAAAACTGTTCACTGAGCTGCAAGTAGTTTTCAGCAATCTTAACAAGTTAATACTGTGCTTCCAGTGCAGAAGATTTTTTTTTTCCTTTTGTGCTAAAAGCAAAGAGAACTGCATAAACATCAGTGCATTTGTACAGACAAAGCTTTTTCTATGTTGGTGAAAGGCTGGAGGCCAGCACAGATCATAATTGCACAGGTTTTACACCTGGAAGATTCCTAGAAGGCTGCTCTAAGAGTTAACGATCTTCTTCCCACATATGTTTTACGACGACACACCAGAAAGTTGTAGTGCACTCAGGTTACACTGCTAAAGCCCAGCAACTCTACTCTCAACCATACACAAGTTCTCTGAAAAACCTGCTGAGGACACTTCAGTCCCTGTCTATCTGGGGGACTAGAAAAAGCTGCAAACCTGCTGTTTGCCCTTTCAACCCTTTTCAAACACAAAGTACTTCACATTAAAAAAAAGTCAACTAAACAGAGAACAGAAAAATCACCTTTGTCAGATGCTCTAGAGGAGAAGCCACTGGTTGTTGACATGTTGTCATCGTCTTGTTGAGAGGTAGAATCTTTGATTTCTTTTATGAAAGAGAGTCCAGGACTGCCAATGCCAAATATTGAAGATGTGGAGGGCTGAGAAGGTGGGACAGAAGAATCCGACATGGTATAATTCAAATGGCTCCGATGAAGAGCGGGCCTTGTTAAGGCAACTGGGTAGTTCAGTGCTGAGCTACTTGTGGATGGTTCTAGACAAGAACAGGGAGATAATTAGCTTTGCTATAGACAAGCTCACAGAAGCCAAAACCTGTTTCCTATCAACAGCCATGCTATTGCCAAGTTCTAAGCGCAAAAATAGAGAAGCCAAATTTAACTTCTTCCTCACCCAGATACGGTTTCATCTAACTGTCTGGCTACAACAACAACACTGCTTGCAATACTGAGTATTAATGTTGCATTCAGAAGAAGTTAACTGTGAGGTTTCACAACACCAGATTCCGACCCCGTGTTCAAACGCTCTAACACTGACTTGGCCTTTCACCAAGTCAAACACAAATACTCCTCCTCGCATGTACAGCTTGCAAGAAGCTTTACAAAATTTGAGATTACATGCTAAGGCACAGATAACACTGCAGCTTATATAATGGTGGAACAAAGGTCATTAATCTAAATACACAGCATGAAAATGAACACTTGCAGTACTTTTTTTCCCAAGTTCTACCAGATCAGCTCATCTTAGAGGCAAAACACTACCTCCTACCCGTTAACTACTGGGATTTTGACCCAAGGGAAAAGTACGTTGACCCAAGTAACCAGATGAGCATTTTTCCCTCTTGAAGCAAAGGGTCTGCAAACAATGCCAGTGGCCTGATAAAAGCCTACAGTCTCCCCCGGGAATCTGGGCAATTAAAATGACTTTGCGCCACTATCCTCTTGATGCTCGCACTCAAGCTTAAACTAGTTAGTTCAATCTTCATAACCACTGCAGTACCACTAATTAGTTCTCCAAACCATGAGCAGATTTTTAGAACAGTACCGTTTGAGATACACAAAGTTATTCGGGCTGAAGGCCACCTAAGCAAGGAATATAGGCTCCAGCACATTGATACCTCAGAGCTGAAGAAACACATTTGTTTAAAAATGAAGTAATAATTTTTAAAAAATATCTTATTCTTAAGCAGAGCAAGTAACACCCACAGACAGCTACATAAGCTACAAAAGGTTCTAGGATGTCCACCTGCTCCTGATCTCCTGGAGTTAGTAAGCTTGCAGTGCAGCTGTTCTTACTGAAAGCTCCTTTCACACAGTTACATAGAAAAGCCAACATGTGTTCCTCAGTCATGAAGATCTTCTCTATTCTTTTCTCCAAACTTATTCCCAAGCTACAGCTACACAGAAAGCAATCAATCTCCTTGTTTACAATTAGATGAGATTGGAGGCAAAGCTATTTCCGCATTATTTTTTGATTCGGCCAACAACAGAAGCAACTGACTTTCCAGTTTACCTAGGGTTATCTACGCACACTCAGACCAAACTTCTTTACTTATTAAAAGCTGAGGTCCCCAAAACAGCTAATTTAAGAGAAACTCCAGTAAGAGTATGTGCGGATTTATACAATAAGACTACAGTAACAGTGAGAGGCATCGGATATAAGACAAATTCATCTTTCATGCAGTAAAGGGGTTACAAACCTCGTTGCCAACGCTCCCAATACCTTTTCAAAGACACCCCTTCCCCCTGCGTAGACCTTAAGGTTATTGAATATTTTAAGGGTAATAATGTCATAAACCACATCCATGCACAAGTTCCCTAGTTCTCCATTAAGTTAACAAGGAACTTGACTAAATTGATCAAAGCCCAAAACAAAACCAAACAAAAAAAGTCAGGACTCGAGATGGAATTTTCCTGTGCCACTCTAGCATCTATTATTTTGTTTTGAAGACTGCAAAGCAAATTCATTTTTAATTGCCTTACGCAATTAGATTTTCATTCCGTTTCTTGTAAAATATGGAAAATGCAACCTAGCACACTTGCAAATGAGTTCTTTCCAGCATTTAGCACCTGGCTAATAGAGTACGTAAAGTTGACTGATGCCTTCCAAGAGCATAAGAGGTATGCTTCGTAATTGTGCGGACAGTTTAAAGCTAAGACAGTTTCACAAACAGTTGTTTCGACTTTCTTGTTTGTTTTTTCATTCTGTCAAAACCCTCCTTCCAATTTCCTTTTGATATTCGGATTCAAAACTAGAAATCTGTGAATAAATACAGCTGGCCAGAATTCCAAATGATTTTTCACGTACCTTGTCTATTAAGTGTCGCTCGTTCAGGCATGTATCTCCCATCATTTAGGGTACCTCCATCTGCGTAATTATGATGCTGGTTTACTGGAGTCGCCGCCTGGTTTGCAGATTTATTTGCAGCTGCACACTCATTCTCACGCTTATTGAAATACTTCTGCAGCCACGCCGGTACAATACTTTTCACCGTTTCTGTCACTCTGCTAATTATTCCCTGCTTGAAAGAAAAAACACTCGTTTAATTACAGAAACACAGTCAACGGCATATGCTGGGATACAACTTTCCACGGACCCTGAAGACAGATATTATATAGCACATACTCAGAAGACGACGACAAGGTTGATCCTTAGCATAGGACCGCTATACTTCTGGTACACCTCAAATTCAGCTGACATTGATTTACGACTACTTACCAGTTTCTGCACTTCCAAGTGACCTTGGCAAAGTTCAAAATTTTGAAACTTCTGCCAAAATTCACCTGTAGGTTGTCAATTCGCAAGGGCATCAGGAAACTCTGTGCCTAAATACCTCCTGACCTACAGACTTGTTCCAGGACTCTTCCTCTTCGCGCTCTCACGTGAAAACCAACTAAACCTGCCTACAGCCACACGACGGGCTGCTCGCCTCCCTGGTGCGAGCAAACACGAAAGCTAACTCAGCAACCCCAACGCAATGACAAGTGGCAGGAGGTGATCAAGTTGAGCAAAAATCTGTTCATCAGTTGCTAACGCACGGGTCTGGCTGGGTCTGCACCAACAGCCCTGCTCGCCTGCTTCTCTGGTGTCAGGCAACACGATTGTCTAGTCTAAACCACTATTTGGGCGTCGAAAACTGGTAATGTAGTTTGAACATGCAGAAGTTACAGTCTAATCATTCTCAAACAAGAACTGTGCTGTATTCAACTCTTAAAACAAATTAGCGTAGAAGCCAAAACAAAAGCCTGAATCATTTAGGTTTTCCATACATGATAACGCAAACTGCGGAAAATAAGACAACCAGACAGCCCTGAATCTGGGGTTAAGAGAGAGGCATGGGAAGAGGAAGAAAGGAAGACCGAAAACACAAAGCCTTTCTCCAGAAAGACATCTTAATTCACGGTTTGACATTTTTCCTAGTGATCTGTAATTTCATCGTGTACTTGCACGAAGACAGAATAAATACCCAAGGACAGTTAAAACCACGCAGGACACCACCAAATAAACACAGCCATCACGGTTAAGACCTTAAAACGCACACAGGTACAAAATGCTCTGGATGTTGCTATTCTTCTCCAAAAATCCTACGCCTCAGCTTCCCTACAAAAACCATTAAACGCACGTAATGCCATAGCTGACACACAGTCCGACACGCGGTACCAGCGGAGGCAGCCCCTTCCTCCTCCCCTGCCCCTCATTTCCACGTTCCCCTTTTATTGGGGCCAATATTCCTCTCCGATGAATGGAAACCTATCAGGAACTCACATGGGTCCAAGTTTGCAAAAACAGACATTAGAATAGGCCTGCAGGATTCTGTTGCTGTGCAAATCCTCCCCGTACAGAAAGCGGCCCGAGACTCAAGACGGAACAAGTCACAGGCACTCAGAAGAGCAAACACCCCGTCACCTTGAATAACCTAAATGAGTAACTACAGAGCCTAGCTAGACGAATAATTAACCAAGATGACGTTTTACCATCCAAACCTAAAGCCAGACTGCTTTGACCCTTTCTTGCATATGGCAGCCTGGCTGCTGCTCCCCGCATCAGTGGCATTGGAAGAAAGAACTGAACCCCGAATAATTTCTCCAGCCCTTTCAGAAGCCACAAGTGGGAAGTACTGACAGCCTGCTCCATCCGACCCGTGCATGGCGTAAGACAAGAAGCTTTGTCAATGCCAAAGCAAGGAAAAGTAAAATATGCTGAAACATACCTCCAATTTCCTGCTGCACAGCAAAAAGGTCGATTAAATGACCGCAAAAGAACAAGGCAGGCGCTGTGAATGAGCCAGAGCCTGCCATCTAACATCGAGATTGCCAAAAAAAGAAACAAACGCTCCCCCCAGAAGTAAAACACACCCTGCACACGTGCCCACTCACGACAAGGTTCAAGAAATTGAGGACTTCCCAATGGTGTCTCCCACCTGCCCGTCACAGCTACAGACCCAGAAATAAAGCACCACATCCCAGGTTCCCTACTGCCATCATTAATCCCTCTAGGGTTTAACACCCAACAGGCTGCTGCACAAGCCCCCTGCTTTCAGAGGAGGGAGCTGCTCTGGGGGCTCCCCATTGCCACAGGACAGGCAGTTTCACCCCAGCCGCATGGAGCAGCGCTTCAGCCGGTGACTGTGCTCCCGTCCTTCAGCAGACTCAGCATTAGCCCACTGATTTCAGCAGCCTGAGAGCTGCCGTCAGTCTCAACAGTTGCCTGCTCGTCTGAAACGCACTCGCACGCTATTCTCGTCCTAAAATAGCAGCAGGAAAGGAGAACAACACAGCACACCAAAAAATACCCCCTGAAAAGGCCCAATAGCTTACTAATAGGGATTTACAGCAGCTCCTCAAATGCTGCGCATCCCAAGAGCCCGCAGCCCTGCTACATACCTCTCTGGCAAGGTCTACACACACCAAGCAACAGTAGCTACAGTTACCAGAGGCAAGCTGCCTTCAGAGGCATCCCGAAACAAAAGATACAGAGGGGGAAATACCAGTAAACAACCAGGTGTCCTAGTTTACTACTTTGAAACACCATTTCTTTAAACGGTTTATATAAAGGGAAAAAATAATGTTACAGTTTAACTTCCGAACTTAAAAGCGGGCTATTTCTTGGCAAAAAATACTTAAGGAATAGGACAGTTCTCCCAGCTTGCCAGGGGTCTCTCACACAGCAATGGGGGCAAAAGTATTGGCAGGAAGACTTGGCAACGATGCCTTACTGGAAACCGTCTATTTTTGTAACAGAGCTGATGTCAGTATGAGAGACTTAAGTAAATCCCACTCTCTGACAAAGGACGGACTAAAACAATTATCCAGAAAGGCAACACACTAACACAAATTCTTCAGAGATGCAAAAAGCACAACCCGATAAAAGAGCTAATTCATTAGATGCACACCTCTATCAGCATCAACTTTTTACCTCCAGCTGAACTCTGATTCTTGTATTTTCATTTTCTCCTCCAATTTCAGGAGTCTCAGGTCTTAAAGCATACGAATCAGTAAATCCTCAAAAAGAAAGCCTGCACCTGAGGGTGAAGTTCAGCGAGCGGCAGCGGATCGGAGGAAGCGCTTCCCACCACCAAAAAGGGCTTCCAGGCTCTCTCCATCCCCCACGGTTACCTTGTGCCAGCTCTGGCGCACAGCAGGCTGCCCTCCCTGCTGGCTGCATTCGTTAAGCTGGCAAAACGCACGGGTTTCCCTGCTGGACTAATGAATTCAGCTGGCGTGGTGCAACGCAAACGGCCCAGGAGGGAGAGCAAGATCAAGCAGCCAGCACACGAGAAGGAAGAAACGAGACCTCTCCCTCCTTTTGATTGAGTGTGCGCACACCATGCGGGTTGTATCAAACCGACCCAGACAAACATTCACCTGTGGGCTGTGATGTATTTTGGGGGCAGCCCCGGGGCCAGCTCACCGTGTGCTTACACAGGCGCTGGTGCCAACCCCGACGTGATCCCCTCTCTTGTGCAGCAGCGCGGGCTCAGGCTGCCTGCGGGCTAACCAAGCTCTTGCTGTCTAGGGAGTGCGTTCGGTTTGGATGCAGGACAGCAGAGTTTTTCAGTTAGAAGAAAAAGACAATAAAGCTTACGACTTAATATGAACAGTATGTTACAGGAATGTCATTAATTACGCGACAGTGGAAAAACCAACCACTTCATTGAAAGCAACTGGACTAGTGCAAATTTATTTCTAAAAATCGTGAAGAAGGGATTATGCTTCCCCATGCCAAAGCGAGCCTCCTTTTCCTTACCGTAGCTAGCTTGAGAAGGAACCTCCCAGGGAAATTCTGCTGCTGCTTTACATTTCAGCGCTGCTTGATGATTTCTCCCATGAAGACACAGCCCACTGTTACCATTTCCACCCGAGTGCAAAAGGCCAGTAGATGCTCTGACAGCTAAATCAGTGTCTAACTCGCTAGGTTAAATCCTTGTGGCGCTGAACGGCCTTATCTCAAGCTTGGTCCACACCTTCAGCCGACAACATTTCAAGAGAGGGTGCAAAGCACAAGACACCTTCCTTCTTGGTAAAAAGCACTACTTTAGGCTGTCGCTAATCCTCAGCAGAGATCAGTGGTGGTGCTGTAGATCTGAGCGCACGTTTTGTGCTACACTTTGAGATAGACACCTATCAGCACCAAAACCAAACGTTGAAGACCCAGGAGCAGTCTTAGGCGAGTGTGTTCTTAAACCCAAGAAGGGACGCATAAGTACGGTTACTATTCTTTACTGAAAGACTGCTTCACATATGCAGCGTGTCTGCAGCTAAGTTTCAAAGCCAGTCTATAGAACCGCACTAACAAAATGCAGTTCAGATTTGGTTTTCCCTTACCACACGGTCTAAACCAATTATTCTGACTCAACAAGCACAACGACAACTACAACAATACCTGGTATGAGGATAACAGACTCTGGCATAACCCAGGAGACAAGAAGTTTAAAGTTTTCAGAATTAAGATGATCAAGAAATACACTGCCCATAGCACCAGATGGTCTTTACAGGGCCATTAGCAGTTACCAGATTTAGCAAGATGGATGGTAACATACTTTTATATTTAGGATTTAAGTCGACAACGTGATGCCTAAACTGCCTATCTTATTTCCAGGTATTCTCCATTAAGTAAAACACAATTCATTGCAGCAGTTCACCACCAACAAACGTATTTGCCAAAAGAAACAGCAAACTCCCTATTCCCCCCACTTATTCTAAGTCAATCTGTGCATACGAAGGCACACCACATGCTGCAGATCCGCTACCTCCAACAACACGCTTGACTCCCAGCAATGAATTAAACAATATTTTCAGTGCCACTTTGCCTAAAAGCACTCGCAAGCTACAGCTCGCAGGCGGGAGGACACGTTCTGCAGGTCAAACACAAGCAGGGGCAGGCCAAGTCCCACAACAGCTTCTAAAAGATGGTTAAATGCCACTCGAGGGCAGCTCACTGCTTGATGCTCATCGTCCCCGTGCCCAACGCTTTCTAGTGCAGAAGAGACGTTACAGGTAACCTGAAACACATCTCACAAAC